AGTTTATAAATTAAAGAAAATAATTACAGTGTGTTTACTATATTACAGTATATTATAAATAAATAAATAAAACAAATAATTCGGTAAATCTATTTAAAGTAAATGGAAAATAAGCAAACATGTTATTTACCAAGACCCTTCCGTCTGGCTCAGGGTGAGATGGAGGGGAGATAACAAGCTATTTATAGCCCATTTGAAGTGACCAGTACCCTAATGCACCATAAATAATTCATTGAACATTCATTTTTTGTACATAGTATATTCAGTATATATATATATATATATATATATATATATATATATATATATATATATATATATATATATATATATATATATATATATATATATATATATATATATATATATATATATATATATATATATATATATATATATATATATATATATATATATATATATATATATATATATATATTTGTGTAATAAATGTATGTAGTAAGTACATACTGGTAACCTTTTTCACTCAAATCCTAATGAAACACCACAATTAGAATACGGTGGTTGCTGTTGAACCACATGTTGTATAAATAGTCACACCACCGAGACGAGGGAACACTCCCACCACGCTTCAGTGACGTCACTAGTGTTTACACTACACCAGCGGGTATAATTTGATGACATTACTTGAAGTGAATTGGCCTTATTTTAAAAAATCAAGGATGGTTGGTAAAGGACTACTGAGTCAGTGGGTAAGTGTCACATTTGGGGTACTGGTCTTATACAGCAAATAGAGCTCAAAAGCTACTTTTTAAATGGAAATTTGGGGGGGGCGTCTTATGCACCCCGCCGCCTTATAGGCCGTGATATACGGTATATATATATATATATATATATATATATATATATATATATATATATATATATATATATATATATATATATATATATATATATATACAGGTTGTACCTCTCTAGTCCGGCATTCTGTGGTCCGGAAACTCCCGTGGTCCGGAACGATTTTAGTTTGTCCAATAGGTAGATAGGCAGCTTTTTTTTTTTTTTTCTTTTTTTTATTTCTCTGAATTATTATTATTATTACAGGAGTATTAAATTTTTGCCCCTCAGGCCCCAATGTGGGTCAGTGACCTATGCCCGGGTGGGCTAATCCCCTTAAAAAAAAAAAAGCCGCGGGAAATTAAGGTTTGTTTACATCCGGCAGTTCGGCTGCTCTCTCTCTCTCTCTCTCTCTGCTTGTCTATACAGAGTACAACATTTAACCCTTCAATATATATGAGCAGTAAATAAGTGTTGCTTTCATATTCTTATGTAGAGTAATGACGATATATTTTCACATGTGCGCACTTACATACGAGCAGTCTCACTTTTTTTTTTACCATTAATGGTTAGCTACTTATATTGTTCCATTTATTAACATTAAATAACATTACAGGTACTTCAAGCAACCATATTCATTTTTTACATTAATTTTACTACAGCTAAACTCAGGGTCTTATTTTCTTCAGTTTTATATGTAGAACCAATCAGTCACTGGTTTCGTAAGGTTTAACATAAACAATGCCGGCAGCCGTCTCGTCTCCTCTAATATTGCACACACGTACATTGATTCAATAAAAACAAATTCAGAAACATTAATTAAAATATATATGAACAGTAAATAAGTGTTGCTTTCATATTCTTATGTAAAGTAATGACGATATGTTTTCACGTGTGCGCATGCGCACATACATATGCGATCTCTCTTTTTCTTTACCATTATCGTTAGCTACTTCTATTGTTCCATTTATTAACATTAAATAACATTACTTAAAACAACCATATTAATTTTACTACAGCTACAACCAAGGTCTTATTTTCTTCAGTTTTATATGTAGAACCAGTCAGTCACTGGTTTTGTAATCAACGAAAACAATGCTGTGTCATTTCCTCGTGTGTTTTAGTATTCTACGTATTATTAATGAATTCTATTGCTCATTTTGCACACACAAACATTAATTCAATAAAAGACATTCAGTAATAAACAACAATGAATCTTTTGTACATAAGAGAAATGACGCTGTTTACACGATTATGCACGTCGTCTGCACGTTGGCGGGCCGTTCAAACCCGTCGAAATTCAAGTTTCCGCCGTCAAAATTTTTATTATTTATTTTTTTGTGTGTTCCAATAAAATACGTTAAGAATTAAAAACTCGCGAAATTTGAGAAGCTACTATACGACATTTAACCCTTCAATATGTCTTCAAAGAGACCATGACACAGAGAAAGTGGTGCTAGTGCTTCCAGGCATAAGCACAAGTCACTATCTATCCAGGAAAAGGGTGAATTTCCATGGTCCGGCAATTTCCATGGTCCGGCACTGGTCAGGTCCCGAGGTTGCCGGACTAGAGAGGTACAACCTGTACTATATATATATATTCACAATATTTTATAATCGCAGTCATGTACTGAATATTCTATGTAAAAAATATTTATTTTAAATGAATTATTTCTAGTGTGGTCGACTTTCTACACAAAGACAGGCTATAAACAGCCTCCTCATCTCCTCTCCATCTGTTACCCTCTGTTCTGAGAGAGAAGGTCTTAGTAAATAACTTTTGTTTGTTTATTTTCATTGTTTGTCTAATTTATCATGTTGTATCAAAGTAATATTACTAAAAGTTTTAGGCAGCTACCAAACAGGGAGATTCTACTGCCTGGGAAGATATTGGAAGCATAATGTACAGTATTGTCTAATGGTAGACCCTACTTCCATATGGCACCATGAAAATTGTGACCAAGTCTTAGGTTGCTGATTTATCTTTCTGCCTCATTTACACACAATTGCAGAGTTTCAATTGTTTGTCTTCCTTTGACAACACAACATACATACAATATAATGTTTTTCACCTTTGATCTTTTTTCCATTTATTTATGGTTGGTTATTTAAAATAACGCCAATTCACTTCAAGTATTAGCATCAAATTTTACCGGCTGGTGTACACTAGTGACTCACTTAAGCGTCAGTTATTTAATTGGAACTAATGTTGGTGTGAGTAAAATATTTCCATTTAATGTACTTGAAATAGATTTGCCGATTTATTTGTTTATTTATTTATTTATAATATACTGTAATACATTAAACACACTGCAAGTATTTTCTTTAATTTATATACGTACTTGTTTTGCGAAAAAGGGAGGCTACCATTATACCTGGTAGGTGAAGTTGACCAGACTTTTATGATCATTAAGGACCAAACTCCGAATCCATGACGTGACTTCTGTTAATCATTCTCATCCTAAATTTACCACTGTCGGTAGTTTCAAGAATTAACGCAGTCATTTACTGAATATTCTTTGTAAAAAAATAAATTTTAAATTAATTATTTATAGGAGATAAGTATTATGATCAGTAAATACAGTGGTCGCTCGGTTAACGAACGCCTCGGTTAACGAAATTTCGGTTAACGAACTGCCTCCCATAAGATTCTTAAATTCGGTTAACGAACAAAAATTCGGTTAACGAATTTCTTACGAACTGACCTCAACATGTTTTCGCTTGCACTGGCCGGTCAACCAGCTTTAGTATTAGTCCGCCAATACATTAATCGGTTCTAGGGCTTAAATTCCTTAATATTTTAATAAATATCAAGAAGTTTATACTATTCAATAATTTTAAAAGTTTAATATTCAATTTTTTAGTCATTTTAACAATTATTGAACATAATTGAAGGTAAAGTGACTAGTTTAATGCGTGGCATCCAGCCTCTTAACACAGCAAACAGGCGTTAGTCTCTCTCTGTTTTCACTGGAGGTAACATCTTGCTTGAGACTCTCTTCAACTAAACGCTTTTTTTCTGTGTTTCCAAGCAAATTATTAGTCATTTTGAAATATATTTTACATATTGACAATATATAATGCAGTGCAGTGTTGATTTAAAGAAAATAATCTTGAAATACACCAAGAGAACTAAAATTTTATGGGTGAAATGGTGCCATGGGGTGACTTCTTTTCCACCCCAATGCCTTCTCTTCTTCCTTCTCCTCCACCCCCATTCTAATTCCCATCATCATCAACATCATCCAGGAGCCTTCTACATACACACCTCAAAGTAAGTGAACTTTTCTACCATTTTTGTTGAATTTAGGCAATTTTCGGTGAGCTGGAATCAATTACCCAAAACCCATTGAAACAATGGTTTCGGTTAACGAATTTTTCGGTTAACGAACAACCTGCTGGAACGGATTGTGTTCGTTAACCGAGGGACCACTGTATATAGATATGCATTACTGACCACCTCCGAACACAAGGACGGCTAAAAATAGCCACAGGCGGTCACAGTCAAGGTCACTTTCCTTTTCTTGTCACTGGCAAATGGGGGGGGGGTGATGATAGCAGCTGTGTTTATTACCGGGGTATATTGTTCTTTTACGGTATGTTAGACTGGTTTATAATACATTTTTATTATTTTAATATACCGGTCATCTTCATTTTAATCCAGCTTCCCAAACGTAAGTTTCAGTATAAAATAATTAGTGGTAGGACCTTGTGAGTGGTTTACCATGTTTCCATCACCACTCTTGACAGCTAAACCGCAATATTTAAGAGGTAAGAATTTTATCTCTGGTGCTTAAGACGACCCTCTAACTTTGGGCTGATTTTTTTTTTGTTCAAATTCCGTCTTGTAGGCCGAGATATACGGTAGATGCACCGTGGAAAGTGAAAGTCCGATTCTGGCAAGGTACCGCGTAAATGAGAAATCGCGGAAAGTGAAACTTAAATTTGTCTGTCAGTACCAATTCTGTCGAGTACAGTATTAGGAAAATTCCATAAAGTAAACAGGAGTTGATTGAACAAAATATAGACTGTTGTGTGATGGACTAACAGACCGAACAGTCCAATCTAGTATAGCTTATAAGTATTTATTAGCATGGGGCATGAATAAGTATTGTAGAGCATATAAATAGATACTGTAATTGACTGTTGGTTGTACATAGTAGAACATATTGGTAATCTTCAACTTTTCTGTCTATGTACAGGTACTTACTTAGTGTGAAGCCACATGCTACTGATGAAGAATTTGAGATGACAAAAGAAATAGTCAAGAAATTTGAATCAGGCATAGGGAAAGAGCTGCATGAAAGATTATTGGCTCATGCAGCCAAAAAAAAGAACTGGGTATGGTCACTATTATTTATATTAAATTTTGATTTATTGCTCAGTGACTTTTCTTCACTGCAAAATTGCATGACATGCAAACCAACCATTTCTGATGATGCTCTTTACTAGTATACAGTATACCATAATGTATGATTTAAAAGATTATAGTCTCTTCCTTAATGTATTTTCTTACAAAATCATTTAATATGTACTTGTACTCTCTTACATGAGTGTGGCAGCTTGGCCATGTAGTAGAGAGCTTATTTTCTGACAAGATTGGGCAGTAGGGCACTGTTGTTAGATTACTTTATAATGGGGAAATGATATTTATTGATGAAAAGTAAACACTCAAATATACAGTAGTTATAAGCTGATACTGTATGATTATTTATGAGTTTTCACTTACTGAGTTTGGGTTTTAACACTTAAAATGTTTTGATTTTAGATGATTAGTCAAACCTATGAAGATGGAATTAGTAAAAATTCATGTAGATTCAATGAATTAACAGCGATACAAAACATTGCCTTTGATCCCTCCCCTTTTATGTGTTTTTGTTGCAGCTAGATGATTGGTGGCTACATTATGCCTACCTGATTGTCCGAGAGCCCCTGCTACCCACCATGAACACTACTGGTTTTCATCCACTTAACTTTACACTATGGAAACCCTCAATTGAAAAATCTTCAGAGGTGAGCAAGTTTCAGGTTACAGAGTTTGATTGATATGAAATTATTTGTAATACAGTCAGACCCCAATTTACAAGAGGGTTATGTTCCTGAAAAACCTTTCATTTGGTCTTTGACTCCCATTATATAAGTTGAGATATGTTCCTAAGAAAAAAGTCCCCCCAAATCATTGTAAAATGCTACAAAACATGGTTTAATTATTTTTTTATGTTGTACTCAATAAATAAGCCGTTTTTTTTCTAAATAACAGTTTTTGTGATATAGTCCAGAATCAGATGCCAAGCTTATACCTAGGTATGTAAATGCCTAGCATTAACTTGCCAAGCCAACATACAGGCAATTAAAACTTCTAATACTGCAATTACTAAAAAATTCGTAATATTAGGAGGACACGTCACTACCTGGCATTTAATTGCAATTCTCAAAAAAACCTCAAACAAACATAGTAAGTGGAATACCTTCACAACAGTACATTAATGATTTATGACTTTATTTAAAGAGAAACTGTATGAGATTTGAAACAAAGTGAACATCTATAATTCAGTAAAATCCCCAGGTTGGACTATACAGGTATGTATATATATATATATATATATATATATATATATATATATATATATATATATATATATATATATATATATATATATATATATATATATATATATATATATATATATACATATATACATACATACATACAGTAATACCCCAATTTACGCTGTCAATTGAACAAGTGGAGGTTCGCGTAAAACGTAAATGGAATAACAGAACATATGGGATTAATTGAAATAGAGACTGGGCCGACTCCCAAACTCCACTTTTTCCAACACAATACCTACGTTGTAGTAAAAATAACTTATTAATTTTATGATGGTATGCACACACAATTAATAATTAAGAGAAATATCAATAATATTAGGTTTTTTAACACTTACATTAGTAGAAAAGATGGCTGGGCACACGGGGATGGGGGGTTGGTTCCGAGGCAGAGGGCAGATTATTGGCCCTCACCTGTATCACTTGTATCAATTGTATCACTATCCACCACAGAGGCTTGCAGGGCCTCTTTGTCAAACCCCTCAAAGTCCATATAAGTCCATATCCTCACTATCGTTATCACTATCACTGACTTGGGCCGGCTGTGGTGGGTGGCGGGTGAAGAACTCGGTAATGTTTTGATGACTGGGCGACCTTGTGCGCACCCTGCCCGCGCCGCTCTCCGTGTAAAAGAGTACATGCGCCGCGTAAAGTGAGCATTCCGTGTTCGGCAGGGTACCGCGTAAACGTGGAAACGCGTGAAGTGAAACCGCGTAAAGCGGGGTTTTACTGTATATATATTAGCATTGTACAACATAATGTATATAGTGAAGTTGATGTTTACAGTATCTTTGCTAAATTTAAAACATTTTATTCCTCAGTATGGATCATTGAACTTGTGGGGATTCCTGGACTTCAACCTGGCTCTTAGAGAACAACGCTTAAAACCACAAAAATCTTACGAGGTCAGTTTTGTAAAATGCTTTTTTACATTTGCTGTTTATCTGTCTAACTGTTAAATATAGTGCATGGGAGAAGGTTATTAAAGAAATTATAAAAGATATAATATAAGGAAGGTGGACTTTACCCTAGCAGATGACAAGATGATGCAGTATCAAAGTCCGAGGTTGTTGATCCTACAGACTTTCTGCCACACTTACACCCAATTGCAGGGTCTCAAATGTCTCTCTTACTTTGATAGCGCTTTACAATAAATACAGTACATATATCGTTTGTCACTTTTGATATGTTTTATTTTTTCCATTTCTGTACTTATTGGTTTTTTCTTTCATTTTTCTTATTTTGCCCCCTAGGGCTCGATGTGGGTCAGTGACCTGTGCCTTGGTGGATTAATCCCCATAAAAAAAGAAAAAATTGAAGCCTGAATTGCATAGAATTTCATCCAATAAGTAAATATGTATTGTGCTGTACAGTATATACTATGTACTGTATTACAATATTGTGTTAACTTTACCAGTGTGATAATTTACTTATCAAAGCAGCCATTTAAATAAGGACTTAATATCCAGACCACCAGGTATTGTAAACTGTTGTTTCACAAAAGGTGATGCTGTACTAGCCAGGAATAAGTCTATGTCAGTCACTTATTATGTTGTACAGGTTGGATTGAATTTATTAAACATATCACATTCTATACCTGACCAATGAGGCAGGTAGTTTCAGTGGTTAATGAGAACTGCTTTATAAGTAAGTGACAGTACAAGAAATATGTAGTAGAATATGTACAGTAGAACATCGATTTAAAGTGATTCAATTTAAGATTATAGTTTTAAAGCAACACCCACAATTAAGGACAATGTTTTCACTTAAAGCGAATCTTTCCTATTTTGCGCGAGTCAATCTGGCGCATCATATTTTATAATTCGCGCCTAATGTTTCTCTGGGCACGCTACACTGTCCTAAGGGCAAAGCTGTACTGTACATGTACTCAAAAGAATGTGCTAAATGATTACTAAAATTTTTGTGTAGTGCAAACTATAGCATGATTATTTTCAAATTAATCACTATCTTATAAGAATTCCAGCAATGTAAGTTACATTCTCCCTGGTCACTTCTGTGACATTTTATAAATAAAAAACAAAAACTCAATCTAAAGGACATAAATAAACAAATAAATACTTCATTAGACCTTCGGCCCCAACTGTCAAACGTGTCACTATCACCCCCATCTTCCCAGCCAGGGTTTGGTGGTTATAGGCTTACAGTTTTTTCTTACTCGGTATATAATATCACAGACTAAAATTAGGAGGATGTAATTTGCATTGCTAGAATCCTTGCAAGGCAGCGAATAATTTTAATATAAACGTCATATATTTTGCACAAGAGATTAAAATTTTAGCCCTTTGTAATAAAATTAATTAGAACGTGTCAGTTCAGTGACATTTTATAAGAGAAAAACTTAGTCACTCTTAAGGATAGATAAATAAATAAGCACTAGACCTTGGCATCGACTGTCAAACATATCACCTCACCCCCCTCCCCTATCTTCCCATAAGCTGATCGTGAGTAAATAGACCATTTCATGTCTCATAATTTTAGCTGTGTTGATTTATGAGTGTTTGTTTTTACATAATACTACAAAAACCAATATTTTGATTTTCTAGGAGATAGGCTGAGGTGCATCTGGGTAGACTCAGTCTTTTTAGTATTTTGTGTTTCTCTCAAGTACCAAACTAAATTATTCCATTGAAACAACACTTCGATTTAGTGCGAATTCGGTTTAAAGTGATCTCTCTTGGAACGTATCTCGTGTTATATCGATGTTCTACTGTATACTGTATAGATATGTGACTACAGTAAAAAAATCTTCTTGTATCAAGTTGTGTTACTTATCATTTTCCAGGGTACACCCTTCAGTATGAGACAGTTTAGATGGCTGTTTAATTGTACAAGAATCCCCGGTCGAGGTGCTGACAGTCTTTATTCAACTTGGAAAACAAGTAAGTTTATCTGTAAATGGTCAGCTTCTTATATGCTGATTAGGATGTACAGTACTGTATAAAACTAAACAGTGTATGTTGCAAAAGTGTAACTCAAAGTGGTAGTGGTGGTTGAGGTGTAGTTTAAGTAGTGTTGGTAATATACTTTATGGTAGTGGTGGTGATTGAGGTGCCATTGTAAATAGTGTACTCCACATGACTGGTGTGTAATAATAATAATTGTGTCATAGTTTATGCCATAGTGGCATGGTACAGCTCTTTCACCATGATTCCCAAACATTGTCCACTCTGAGTAAGCTTTCAGTCAGACACTGTCCCATCCCAGTCATCTGTATGCAATAGTGATTGGTGTGCAATATCCCTGTATTTAACTCCTACGCCCCGGTTGACGTTCCGGAACGATCATCCAGGGCGCCCCGGTTGACGTTCCGGAATGATCATCTAGGGCACCCCGGTTGACTTTCCGGAACGCGCCCCTTTTCGCAGCATTGTTTGAATGCCCAGTGTAGGTTATCAGGTTCCAGTGTGACTATTTGCGTGTCACGCCACACGCTCGACCACAGGGAAGCTTCTGGAATGTAAGTACCTACTTTTGTTTGTTTCATTTTAATTGTTTGTCCAATTTATCATGTATCAAAGTATTATTGCTAAAAGTAGTGGAGTTGTATTATTGTGTATTATTACTGGAAAATAATGCTATGGTTATGTTATAAATGTACTTATTTGTGGAATTATTATTCCAAAAATTATTTTTATGCATTATAGGTATTTGCTCTCCTTAACACAAAGACAGCCTGGTGACAGACTGCTGTGTGTTGCCGAGCACTTTTATGAAAAAAAATGCAAATAAGATAAATTCTAAATGAATTATTTATAGGAAATAAGTATTATGATCAGTAAATATATGCATTACTGGCCATCACGTACACAAAGGCAAGCAGAAAATGGCCGCGTCAAAACAATGCTGTCCCCGTATCTCTCTTGCTCTGTGCTGCCATTTTCCCACCACTGCGGCCCCAGGGAAGTTTCTAGAGGGTCAATATATAGTTTTTCTTACTTCTTTTTTATTTTTTTGTCATTTAAAAAGGTTAAAAAATATTTTTGGAGAAGTTGATTTTTCTCAATTTACCCCGCATGGGGGGGGGGGGTACGGCCAGCGGCACCGGGGCGTAGGGGTTAAAATTTTAAGATGATGCTGATTTTCCCATAATACATACCTATGATTCTTTCACTTTTCTTTTTCAGTTGTGAATGTTCTTGCTGTCATGACTAACTGAATAAAAGTAGTATATACCGGCAGGTATAACAGAATTACATAACTTATTTAATGCATAAATGTCTTAGTAAATATACCCAAGGTGAAGTTGAAGGTATGGAAGCCAGAAAAAGGAAATGGCTTTCTTTGGGGAAGTGTATCACTTAAAAATACAGTAGTACCCCGCTTAACGCGGTCAATTGAACCCACAGGGTACCGCGTTAAGTGAAAACCGCGTTAAGTGAACAACAGAACATATGGGATTAATTCCAATAGAGACTGGCCCGACCCCCAAACTCCACTTTTTGACGACACACAACTATGTTGTAGTAAAAATTTTATCTTAACTTTATGATGGTATGCACACACAATTAATAATTAAGAGAAATATCAATAATATTAGGTTTTTTAACACTTGCATTAGTAGAAAAGATGGCTGGGCACACGGGGATGGGGGGTTGGTTCCGAGGCAGAGGGCAGATTATTGGCCCTCACCTGTATCACTTGTATCAATTGTATCACTATCCACCACAGAGGCTTGCAGGGCCTCTTTGTCAAACCCCTCAAAGGCCATATAAGTCCATATCCTCACTATAATTATCACTATCACTGACTTGGGCCGGCTGTGGTGGGTGGCGGGTGAAGAACTCGGTAATGTTTTGATGACTGGGCGACCTTGTGCGCATCGTGCCCGCGCCGCTTCCCGCGTATATGATGAAAAATTCCGCGTTAAGTGAAAGTTCAGCTCTGGCGAGGCACCGCGTATATGATAAAACGCGTTAAGTGAAACCGCGTTAGGCGGGGTAATACTGTATATCTGAAGGAATGAACATTTGAGAAAAAAGAAATTTTTTTATAAAAAGGATCACAAAAAGTGTCAGTTTGTATGTCGTTATGTTGTAACACTTTCTAAACCCTGTAATTCTCCTTCACTGTGCTGTACGTTCTTCAGGATCATAAGCTTCAAAAAAAAAAAGAACAGAAAGGGCATAAGTTGTTTCTTAAAGGCCTCCACAGAAGTCAGCTGCTTCATGGATGCAGGCAACTGATTGTACAATCTGAATGCTGTAGGAAAAGGATCAGGCATCAAAAGAACATTCATGCGCTGCTCTAGGCTCCCCATATATTCAGTCAAGCAGTTTCACAATTCATTTACTCAACAGTACCACCATTCATTCTTACCCTTTCATACACTCCTGACTTATGTCATTTCACCTATTCCTTAGTTCATTTCTGTACATTTCAGCATTGTTGCACACAAAATTGAGAGATTGAGTTCCCTTTACTCATCAAAGTTTCAGTTAGTCTTTACTTATTACCTTGACACACACACACACACACACACACACATCCTTGACCACCGAAGGGTCAAGACGTACCTGACGCTCCTCTCGGAGCAGCCAGGTCAACTGTTAAGTTGGCCCATACCAACCCCCTCCCCTGAACCCTCCTCCCCACCGGAATATCAACAAGTTCTCGCCAGAAGTTACAATTTCATTTAGGAAAGGAACGGAACCAGTGTTAAACAGAGGTGAACAGTGCTTAAGTCAGTGAGAACAACTCAACAGTAACAGTCGTACCCAAGTTAACCTTCACACAGTGAGGTCCCAGGTACCCAGAGATAATGGCCCGTGAGACCCAACAACAACCAGCGATGTGTTAATCCGTCTATGATAGGAAGGCCTAAGACCACACCTCACTCATATAACACCATCTGTGAGGGAATTACTACACCACATGTCCCTCATAACACCATATGTGAGGGAATTACTACACCACGTCAAGTCCCTCATAACACCATCTGTGAGGGAATTACTACACCACGTCAGGCCCCTCATAACACCATCTGTGAGGTAATTACTACACCACGTGAGGTCCCTCATAACACCATCTGTGAGGTAATTACTACACCACGTGACGTCCCTCATAACACCATCTGTGAGGGAATTACTACACCACGTGAGGCCCCTCATAACACCATCTGCGAGGGAATTACTACACCACGCCAGGTCCCACATAACACCATCTGAGAGAACTACTACACCATGTGAGTTCCTCCTAACACCATCTGGGAGGGAGTTACTACACTACGAGTTTGCTGTTCAACACCTACATTAATCTGTATGTTCCTTTACCTTTCTCTAATGAAGGCTTTTGTTAAACCACCAATGTATGTAATAAGTCATTTATGTCCAATGTATATTTTCAGCCTTCGGGCTGCAGAATTTTTTCAATAAACCGTTAATTATTATTATTATTATTATTATTACACATATTACACACACACACACACACACACACACACACACACACACACACACACACACACACACACACACACACACCACACCTTTTTTTTCTCTCTCTCTCCTCTGTGTCTCTCCAACTGTAACGACTTATGCCTCCAGACTGGGAACGGTTGGTATGGAAATGACTGATGAGGTGACCTTGCTTGCCCAAGATGTACAGGAGTAAGCCAGAAGTTAGTTGTGTATAATTTTGTGTCATGTTTTGTTCTCAGAGGATGAAGGTGACTGTCCTCTGCACATCATATTCCTCTGTCATGGCCACATCTGGACGATGTATCCCTGGGACTCAGCAGGTAATACTTCACCCACGATTTTGTCTAAGATCACAATCACCGATGTATACCCTATTCTTTATTCAGCAACTCACTACATCTTGGAAACTGATGCTGCCTGTAAGAGAAGAGAGGGGAAGAATTCATGCATGGATGTCACACCTCTCTCCACCTTTAAATAAGAATTAGTTATGGGACACCATCCAAAAGAGTATACAGTATACCATTAACAAAAGTGAGTGTCAAATGTTGTTGATGTATTATGGCATTGAAAAATACACTGTATTCAACCTAGCCAAAACACAACAATACTCCTTGACACTAGTTTAGTCGTATCTCGTCCCCAGTTTTGGCAGTACAGGAAAGGTTACCAATTTTACCAATTACTATATAATATTTTGTTTCTTGATATTTGTCAAGTGTTCCCTATGGTCTCCTTCATCTTATAATAGGTTTTGCATGTATAGTTCTGAAAATTTTATGGGAGCTTGTCAGTAGAATGAAGTTATATTGATATAAAATTTTTGAATGTCAGGTGTATATTTTGGGAATCATTATACTTTTTTTATTTTTGTCACGATATATATCCTATCATGCTAAGTTTGTTTACTGTAGCATTTGTCTCTTTTCATTTGAATCTTATCAATTGTGTAGATATCATAAATAGTATTGAAGTACGGTATTGCATTGTAACAAAGTAAATCTGTCGTATGACTTGGTGAAGGTTGAATGTAAACTCACACGGTTGTTCTTCTAGTGTTCTTGACCTTTCTTCAATGTTTCAGGTTTTATCATGTGAAGGATTAGTCTAAAGTGTCACTGTACTGGGCACATGATTACCCTGTCTTAAACACTTCAGTTTACACAGGAGGAGGAGGGGGGACACCTCTTTTCATAGATCATTAATTATTTAATTCTAAGTTGTCACATTCTGACAGTGGACTCTGCCCCAAAGCTTTCATGGTATTTGCCTTCTGGTGTGTGAAAGTGTGTATGTGTATGGGTGTGGGTGGGTGGGTGATAGTTTATTGAAAGAGCATGGCATCCAATAGGCTGAAAATATACAGTTACATAAATGGGGAATGGATCAATTGATTGAAAAATAATATACAAGTAACATAAGTGATACAAATATGATATATTTAAATAACATGATGGGGAGAAGGTCATATTACAGGGCATTTCAACGTAGTAACAGTGCAAAAAATAAGATTGGCCGGGAGTGAACACACTGGTTGACTACGAGTGTATGTGTGTGTGTGTATTAGGGGCCATTCAAAAATTACATAACACTTTTCTACCTAAATTTATACCCCCCACCCCCTGCAACACACTGTAACACCAAGCCACACCCCCCTAAAATTAAAATATTACGTAACAACCCTGAACCCCCCCATCCCGGACTCACAACACTGCTCCAGATCACACCAACAGCTGAATAATATGCAGGGGTGGGCAAGATCCCTAAAATTTGCACAGAAGTGAAAATTTTCATCCATTTTGTGTGAATTTCCATGGTGCGAATAAGTGCAAAACTGATGGACATTGTTGTCACGTTCATTGTATTAGGCGCTGGTACTGTTAATAATAGGCTTGTCTTGTTTTGTGCGAGGGAGTAGTTATCATCACAACCACTATATCCATCAATACAGAACGTTGTAAGTGCGTATTATGTATAATGTACTTACGAGGTTTTGCAAGAGAGTCGGTATTTTTCTACAGGTCATCAAATGCCAAGATACAGCTTGCTGTAATGCACCAAGAAGTTCTTACTTTTCAGTTATTACCAAGAGATTCTTGCCATCACCACTTCCCCTTGTACAGACAGCAGATGGCTTATTATGTTGTCTTGATGATTTGAGTGCCAAATATCCACCGCTCTTTGTCAATCTAGCACTGGCCAAATCTGTGCTACCAGCTCGGGCAGTTAAAAACTTTCCAAGTTGCCTACCATATGATTTGGCATGTTCTAGTCTGAAGAATGAGCTACAGAAGTGCATCTGTGGAACTTGTGGCAAATACTTTGCCTCAGTCAAGTCCATGACTTCACATATTAAGAAACACTGCTTGAGTCGCAGTAGCCATTCTGTTGTGAGTGCTCCAACAGAAAGGCTGTGACCTCAAAGACTAGCTGCCAAGAGACAAAGGGAATTCATGTGTGTTGTCAAGTACAGTACCTGGAAAAAGAAGAATATGAGTGGCACATGGAGGAAGAATTGGATACTGAGGGACTTGAAATGCCAACTGAGATCAGGGCTAACAAGGGAACACCAATCAAGACTGTACAAAGTAGAGAACCAGTGTGGCAGGAAGATTGTTAGATCTGGGACAACACAGATGAACCTGGACACTTAAATATTTAGACTGAGAACTGAGTTTTCAGAAATACAGTAAATTGTTTTTTGTTTTTTGACATGCAAACAATGTATCAGGAATATATTACATAAAATATATTTGCTTTCATTATTAAAGTTGTATTACTTGCTTTTACTTGAAAAAAAAGAAAAGAATATGCATGCATTTGACAAGGTATCGAAAGACCTCAGTACATAGATTTTCTTTGTAATTGTTAATGCACTTTTAGTATTAAAGACTTTCAAAGATTACATCTGTATTATTTAGGATTTATTTTATTTTTTACTGTTACATAACACTTCTTCTGACACCTGTAACACTTGGCTTGATACCCCCATCTGTGTTAGGTAAGTTTTGAATGGCCCCTTTGAAGCACACTATGGATTTTTTTTCTATGATCATTAGTGTATAAGTCTTTGCCTTTCCAAATCAATAAATACAGTACTATACAGTACTGAACAAGTCAGGAGTTTTCAAACAGAACATGTCCACATTTACATAGTGAGATAATTTACGGTCACTGCTCTTGCTCTCCTACTAATGCGACTTATCTCTGTCTTTTATCAAGGTAAGCCTCTGACTCCACCGGAATTAGAAGTACAATTGAGACATATTCGTGAGACAAGTGATGCCTTGGGTCCAGGGCCTAGCCTCAGTGTGCTAACTTGTGATACCAGGGAGAACTGGGCTCAGGTATTACTGACCATTTTATTTATTTATATGCTCTAATAATTAATGTGACAATCCATATCTTCTAAACTTATAAAAATATATTTCTCTGGATATTATAAAATTTACTGTTGAGTTAAAGTAACATTATACAGTACTAATCTCTCCCTTAACTAGTTTTCTTTTAAAGTGAAGTCTTAAAAAAGTGGATTTATGGGAACCATGTGTTTTTTCCAAGTTGTTACCTCGTTTCCACTTACATTACTTGCAAAAAAATCTGATCCCTAATCTTATCTCAGAGATTGTCTGTACACATCCCGGTACAAGTGGATATTCTTGGGCATGTAGGTCGCCCTCGGCCCAGGGTGTACCGTGCTACTGGCAAGTCACATGACTCCCACAAGCTGCTTCTCTCCTTTCAGGGTGGCCCTCCTCCCTTTTTCCTTCTCCTTGTCCAAGTTCCTTTGTCACACGCTGTATGATTACAAACTTAAGTAATATGGTAACATTTACCCATATTTTTTGCATAGGTGCTCCTCTACTTACGAACAAGTTACGTTCCTGGGGTGTGTTCATAAATCCAACTTTACTCTTGTAGATACGAACATGTTGTAAAAAATGAAAAAATAGAGGATGTACAGTACAGTACAGCTATACCCTACAGTACAGCCTTAAAACCTGGCTTACTCTTTCCTCTTGACACTCTGAGTTTAACTCAGGTAGCCCCCCCCCCCCCTCAATGATGATGTTTGTATCTTTGAAATTTTGTAAGTCGAATGTTCGTAAGTAGAGGAGCACCTGTTTTCTGTGCCTGAAGTACCAGTCAGGCCTTTGGGGAGGAAATCACCATCATCACAGTTTTATAGCCATATTCCATGCTTGTGTGGGTTAGCCATGATTATCTGATAGCAGCTCTCGATTCTGCACAGCTTCTTGCAACCTCTTTCTTAAGTTTCTTCTCTCTGAGGTAATTTCTTATAACCTCTCCCCATGCCAATCTTGGTCTAGCCTTGGCTCTCCTGCCCTCCTCATTTAAACTCGCGTGTCTTACTCCAGTTGGTCTCCTCTATTCTCTCCACATGCCTAAATCACGTCATCCTACCTCTATGCAAACCCTCACCAATACACTCAATATTCACCCACCCTTTCTTAAGTCTAAACAGTTTCCTGTCTTTCTCTGTGACATAACACATCTATCTCACCATTCTCATTTTGGTTTACTTAAACTTTTACATCTCATCCTTCTTAACTCCCCATGTTTCACTACCATACAACACCTCATATTTCACACACTTCTCAACTCAGCATAAAATGAATCCTTTCATTTTGCTCCTTAAATTTTCACACTTTCCTTCTTGGCACATAAATCTTCTTTTCCCCGCATATTACACTCAAGTAGTCTGTGCTACAAGGCACAGTTTTCCCCTTTTATCAATTTTGTATCCTTAATAAGGTTAATATCTGATTACCTGACAAGTATACAGTCAATTTGGGTTTTTATGCCACCTTACTTTTACAGCAAACCCTTGTTATTCTTGGGTTTGCGATTCGTGATTTCGACTATTCGTGGTAAGTAGATGGTTACTAGCATATGAGCCTCTCCTGCAGTGCAACGAGTCGCCCCCACGTGCCCAGAGCGTCTCCTCTCCCTTGTTTGACTCAACCATGGCCTGTGATGCAGCATCTCTTGCGTTGTGCTCAAAACTTTAGTGTTTGTGTGAAATGGCCCTGAAAGACTGCCTAGTGTCAGTGCTAGTGATGCCAGTGAAGTGAAATGTAAAAGGCAGAAGTCAGTGATGACCCTGACAAAGAAAGTTGAATTATTAGATATGTTAAAAGAGGGGATGAGTGCTGCCGCAGCTGGTCGATTGTTTAGTACAGTATAGGTATACAGTAGTGCACTAAGGTAGTACAGGTATAAGTTGTTGTTTGTGGTTTTGCCAATTCGTGCCATTCCTTGTAACCTAACCCCTGCGAGTAACAAGGGTTTACTGTATATGATCAACCTACTTGTCATATTCTTAAGCAATGCATTCCCTACTAATGTACAGTACCATATTCACTGCATCCTCAAACTCAAATATTCTTTTGCCTACAGTATTCCTTGTACCAATGCTTTTCCACCATGAACACGCTCATAACCAGCTGTGTGTTCACCGACATAGCCATTTATGTCATCATCCAGTTCAACAAATTTTCTTTAATCAAGTTTCAATAATACATGCAGCAATTCATCTCAGACCATGTCTTCCTCTCTTATTCCATTTTGTGGGTTTGTGGGACAAATGCAGATACAACAATCTCCACATTCTTACACACTAATAACTTTAAAACCAGAATTCTCAGTCAACCTTTTCACCTTTAGCACTTTTTCTACCATTTTTCCAGCAATCAAAATTCCTATATCACCTGACCCAAAAGATTTTGTACCTGTCATTGTTACCAGTAATCAACCTTGCCAATCCTCCTTCCCACTTAGTTTCTTGTGCAGTATTCAACAGCCATCCAGCTTTGTACTGCTCAATGTTTCGACAATCTCCCCTGATCTTTCCATCATAGCATCAACATTCAGACTTACAAATCTGAACTTAACTACATCAGGTTGCTTCACTATGCTCTCATGCAGCTTCCTTTGACAGTGTACAGTATAAGTGATTTATGTGTACAGTACTGTACAGTGTAAAAGGTTTACTTAAGAACTTCAGTTGGAATTTCAAAATTAAATAATAAGAGTTAGGTAATGACCAGAGCTAGATGTCCCCCACTACTCACCACCACAAATCCAGGTAATGGTAGGTAAACAAACCTGACGCCATTGTAACATCAATCCATTGACCTCAGGATGACCCACCACAACCAACTTGAAGGACACCTTTCCAGGCACAACATGTCAATAAAGCTGATTGCAGTATTATACACTTGATGGAGCAGTCTCACAGGTTGCTACCCTTGAGTTTGGGCTCTTGTACTGTCAAGTTGAAGTTCCAGCCTATGAAATTATTAACTGGTACCTTCTGTAAAGACAGTGCACCAACCCAGAAAGTGCAACAGAGACCAGGGGAAAGTCACATCTCTGGGGTCCCGGTTGTCTTTATGTGTGGATGCCCTTCTTATCACTAACCCACTTCTATAGAGTTGGCACTGTGTATTACAGTATACGCCCAGATTCTATATGCCTTACAAACTAGCAAGGCTGACTAGCTGCCAATGTTGTGAATTTTTCATAGCTGACTCTCTAAGCAGAGCATACACACACACACAACCAAAAGGGACAGTATTTTCTCGATTTAACGAACTATTTTGGGCCACCCCTTTCCGTTAAATTGAAATTTCCGCTGAATCGAATTTCTGTTATTTTGTTTACATCCGCTCAGGCTGTGTCCTGCTTCCACCGCATGTGTTGTTCATTGCTTCCTCTTGGTTTACATCTCGGTCAACTAACTACGTACAGTGAGTTCTGCTATAAAGCGTGTTTTGATAACGCGAATTTGCTCTAACGCGATTTATGAATAGAGGAACGATATTTGTATAACGCGAACTCTTGTTTGCTGTAACGCGATTTTTGCTTACTATTTCTCCAATTTTGTGGTATTAACTGTGAATATGGTAAAGAAGAATATCTCTAAGAAGCGTTCTGGTGATCGAATTCCCGGTGATGATCGTAAAAGAAAGGATATAACACTTGAAGAGAAGCTTGGTGTTATCAACCTCAAAATCACCCTTCTCCCCCATCAAGTTATATTCATATTTTTTCAAGGTAAAGTGTTACATTTACTGTATGATTTCATTATTAGATATGAATGTAACATTTATTTAGACTGTGCTATCCTTTGTGTTATGCTAACTACTAATTTTTTTTCGATTTCGAGTAGTAATCTGCACCTAACCCTATTTTCTCCATAAGCCCTGTTATTTCTATTACGCGATTTTCTATAACACGATATTTTACAAGAACACAACTATCGCGTTATAGCAGAACTGACTGTACTGTGCTTCGACATCATGCTGAAAGTCTCTCAGAGAGGAAGTGGTGTGGGGGAGAAAAAGTGAAAAGAGTGCAACTATCAGTTGGAAAAAGGTTTGGAAATTATAGAACAAATTTAAAACAAACACTGAACTCCTTAGTAGGGTGTGTCATAGGAGGGAAGATCAGCTAAAACTAATGGCCCATCACTTTTTTGGTAGATTTTAGGGTATATAAACAGAAAATAATTTCAGTTTCAATATTTTGCAACCTTTTGCTAGGTAAATTTTAGCGTGAAATTTATCGAAAATCTAATGTACAGCTGCATTAGTGCATTACAATTAAATAGTGAACATTGCTTTCTGACTTCATTCTTTAACAACCCAACTAACAATATTTTTTTCTGTTTCAGATTCTGATGCATTTATAAGTTGATAATATTTGCGATGGCTGCTTGTATCAGGACGAGGAACCAAAAATCCAGCCATCTCAGTCACTATCTTGGGTCTGGGAGAGAGCTCCTGAAGTCGGAGTTGCCTACATTGAGAGATGCTTTGAGATACGGTGTTTTAATCAGGCAAATCAGTGAAAATAACCAAAGAACTTACACAAACAAAGACATTGCCAGTGATATGACCAAAGCTGTCTTGGCACAGTACACTCTGGCTAACGCTCAGTTCAAGCCTCCAGTCATAACAAGTCAGAAGAAGATTAGTGAGAGACTGCTAGCCAGTTGGGAAAAGGCAAGAGATATCTCTCTTGGGAGAGGAAAACTTGCAGTTAAGGACAGCTTTGCCAAGCAACTGGACCAGTTATTTGACATAATTACTTGCAAGTGCCCAATTGTTCTCTGTCCTGAGTTTGGATGCGATCGTGACTGTAAATCCGAGGCCCACATCTCCTGTATTTGCAAGCGTGAACTGAAGATTCCTGTGATCGAACTGGCATTTGTCAAAGCACAGAGAGAGAAGACTGGCAGTATAGGGGCTCTCATGATTTCTAGCCAAGATATTCCGGAGTCCAAGAGACAGGAGGCTGCCACAGAGAGACAGAAGAGGAGAAGAGTTGCCGAGGAAAAGAGACTTGAGAAGGCCCAGGGTGAGGTAAAAAAGGCCGATGATTGGAGTCAAGCTGATTCAGAGTTTAATGACTTCCCCATGGCTGATCCGAGTGCTGACCAGGAAAATGGTGACTTTGTCCCTAACCCAGAAAATAATGATCCCAAACCTTCCAGGCATAAGATTCGAAATAGGAAAGATATCCCGAGCATAGCTCTGGCCAGCATGCGACACCACACTGGTCTCAGAGAAACTGCAGAGATAGCAACAGCTGCCTGTGTTGACGGTGGTTTGATAACACCTGATGATGTTCACCTGGTGATAGATCATAACAAAGTAAGGAGAGCTCAGGAGAATCTTGTCAGTAACCTAGAAGAGGAGTTTGATAAGGGGATAAGAGAAAATGGAATCAATTGTTTGTTCTTTGATGGGAGAAGGGATGACACTCAAAGTGTTCAAGTGAAAGTTGAGATTCTGACAGTTGTTCCCTGCCATGGTGAAGGAGGAACACTACTCCTGCTGCAGTGAACCAGGAGGGAAGTATTTGTGGCATTTCACCCAGGAGAAAGATGACACATCAGGAAACCAGCTGAGATAGTGGCAGATAACATTGTGAACTGGCTCAGAGAGAGGAACGTAGACCAGACCCTGCAGGCCATTGGAGGGACAGCACCAACACCTAACACAGGGTGGCAAGGGGGTCATACAGTGGATAGAGCGAAGATTGGGGTGAAGCTGGTCTGATTGTTTCAGACTTCCACACCAACGAAGTTGCCACTCAGACACCTGATCCAGGAGCTGGATGGCAAGACTCTTTCAAACAAATAGATGGTCTGGTCCTCTTGCGATGCTGACTCGCCACTGAGTTAGAAATAACCGCTTTGAAAATCACAGTTGGCCCTCCACTCGTTGAGCTTGCACATACTGTCATTGACGACCTGAGTACTGACCAGTACTATGGTTACATGATTTGCAGTGCCATCAAAACTGGGGTCATACCTGATAGATTTGCTTACCTGCAGATAGGTCCAGTCTCACATTCTAGGTGGCTCACAACGGCTCTCAGGTTCTGCAGAATTTGGGTCGCTCATCATAAACTGAAAGGGAACCAGCTTCACAACCTGAGACTTATTGTCCAATTCATCGTGAGTGTCTACTTGCCAAATTGGTTCAACACCAGGGTCAAGTCATCGTTCTCCGAAGGTCCGAGGCATGTTCTCTTCCAGCTTGAGCCTCCTGGAGGAGTCAGCTGGCGAAGGTTGTTCAGATTGTGGATAGATCAGAGAGGAGATCTTCCCATGCCTATCCCGAGGCAGTTCTGCAGACAATGCCTGCAGTAAGGGATGAGGAGGAGAGAAGAGTGGCAGTCAAAAGATCTGGATAGACTTATGAGAGGAGGATCTGGGCATGACGAATCATCAGTTGGTGACGGCCTTCAGGTCAGGAAGACTCTGAAGTCAATCTAGGGCAAAGCAAGACCCTCATTGATCTCATATAGGATCTGATAACATCCAGGGGGGGGGCTGGCAGGCGAGCCCTCTACCTGCAGCCCTACCCAATGTTCAAGTCAGAGCTTCTGGACAACCCCATGCATGTCCTCGTCTGGCCTCGCACACCCAGAGTATAGAGCGTTGTGTACAGCAAATGAGCGAGGCCAGCAGTCACGGGTACAGCCAGGAGAGGAGGGAAGGCTACATCCGAGCTCAGGTGGTCAGCAGGGAGGTGATGAGTAGAAACTGAATCAAGAAAGACATGTTCTCTATGGTGTGCAGCAACACCGAGTCGTAGTAGTAAAACCGGTTTTTGTATTTGATGATTTTGTTTTCTAAAGGAATATTAAATTTAATAAATGTGTCAAGATCATTCGCTTCACTATTCTGGATCATTTTCATCCTAATAAATTAACCTGATACATTTACTTTACTTTAAATAAGCTTGGTTTAGTGGTGCTGGTAAAAGGGTGGGATATCACTGACACTTTCATAAGATTTCAAGTTAAAATTTACTCAGCAAAAAATGAAAACTTTTCAAATCTGAAGATATCACATGATTCTGCACATAGAACTACATCATTAATACCATGGGCCGATTTTTCAAACTCAAAAAAAAAAAAAATTCGCCTCCGTATGACACACCCTACTCCTTAGTTTAAGGAAAGTTATGAATAATTTTTCTATGTACACATATCATGTCTGAGGTGTCTCTGTAGGTGTGAGCGTATTAACGGAATTAATCTCAATTTAGCGAACTAGTTCACTAAATCGGGTTAAAAATAACAGAAAACATTCCTTCCACTAAATCGAGAGTTCGTCATATCGGACTCCGTTAAATCGAGAGTATACTGTATTAAAAAATATTCTGGTACGCTGTTGTCTGGTAGCCAGCTGTGTGGTATATATTTAGGTGACAGGTGTGTACTGTTGATAAAATATATTCAAGCAATAGATATGTACCCAAAGTCTGGTACCATGCTGTCTGGGCTATACATATTCAGGCAACAGGTGCAATTTGGCAAATTTTGAGACAATGAGTATGATCTTAAAATCTGGAGCCTAGCTGACTGGTCAACAACTAAGCAGTCTATCAGATATAGTTTCATGTAACAAGTATTGTATGCACCAAAAGACTGCTACACATTGCTGCAAGCCAGATGAAGTTGTAGGGAATAGGAGTTTACTAAGACGTACTTGCAGGCAATGGCTGTGTACTAAATGAAACTGCCAGACACAGCTGTACACAAGTTGTCTTCCAGTAAAATAAAATTTCTTCAATCAGTACATTTTAACTAATGGTGTATTGTTGCACTGTAAATGAAAGGTATTTGTAATTATAAGTAGTACTGTACTGTACAGTACAACACTTTACTGTACTTTGTTTCATTAAACTTTCTTTCTTTTCTCCTTTAGGTTTCATTCAGCAAACTTTTTTCATAATTTTCCAGAATGCTGTACAGTGAGTTCTGCTATAACGCGTGTTTTGATAACGCGAATTTGCTCTAACGCGATTTATGAATTAGGAACGATATTTGTATAACGCGAACGCTTGTTTGCTATAACGCGATTTTTGCTTACTATTTCTCCAATTTTGTGGTACAGTGGGGTATGCTATAACGAATCTAATTGGTTCTAGAACCTTTATTCGTTATAGCATTCGTTCGTTATAGGATTAATCCGTTCCAGGTCCCCAAATACAACCACTTAACACTGAAAAATATAATATAAAATTGTAAAAATTGTAAAAAAGTGCATAAATATGCATCTAAACCCCTGAAATAAAGAATATCATTAATATTTGTAATAAAAAAAACAATAAATTAGAAGAAAAAAAATAAATAAAAAAAAAATTTAAATAATGTTCGTTGTAGGAGTTTCGTTCGTTTTAGCATTCTCAATTTTATAGGTAAAACCGTTCGTTATAGGAATATTCGTAGTAGGATCCGTTCGTTATAGCATACCCCACTGTATTAACTGTGGATATAGTAAAGAAGAATATCAACAAGAAGCGTTCTGGTGATAGAATTCCCGGTGATGATCGTAAAAGAAAGGATATAACACTTGAAGAGAAGCTCGATTTTATCAACCTCAAAATCACTCTTCTCCCCCATCAAGTAAAGTGTTACATTTACTGTATGATTTCGTTATTAGATATGAATGTAACATTTATTTAGACTGTGCTATCCTTTGTGTTAGGCTAACTACTAAATTTTTTCGATTTCGAGTAATCTGCACCTCACCCTATTTTCTCCATAAGCCCTGTTATTTCTATTACGCGATTTTCTATAACACGATATTTTACAAGAACACAATTATCGCGTTATAGCAGAACTACCTGTATTTGGTTTACATTTTGATGGCTGTGTAACTAAAATTCATAAAATTACACAATTAACTTGTAGATGTAAGTTTAGTGAGAATACTGTCTGGTTAAGGGAACATTCACAACTAACCAGAATTCTGTACAGGTATTAACCTAATCCGGTCACACACACCAGTTAATATACAGTGTAGTTAAGGGAAAGATTACTGTACTATAGTTGACATACTTGCAGAAAATTCCAAATGTTTTGCAGCTTTTATGAGAGTGAAGACATTATGTTCATGACATACAGAAAATGAAGCCTTAATCTAAACTCTTGAATATTTGAAGTAAAGGAGAACAATGACAAAATATCTATAATGTGTTAAATGATAAGTTCTCATGTTACAGTAATTTATTTTTTACTTACTATTTCACCATAAGAAAGTACAATATGTCACTGTATTAATTAGCTTTAGATAAAGTACTTTCTTAAATATACTCATTATTATTGTCTCGATGAATTTTTTTTTCAGAACCGTGATTGGTTGAAATCCCTGAGTGTGAACAACATGAGGAACCTACACCACATTGACTCCTCCATGCTTGTCTTTGTTTTGGATGACACTACTCCAGAAAACTTTAATCAGGTGAAGCACTTGTGAATAGGGTCTAAATCTTTATTGACTTGATGGTGATTGAAGTTTGATTGACAGTTTGTTTTAAGATTTCAAGACATACACTAATGCTAATTGTCTAATAAGTATATAAGAGTATTGGGTGAATACAAATGATATTCCTAGTGTTAAACATTTACTGTATTATGAAATACAAAGTACAGTACAATGAAAAGTAGGATATATTATTAAGCTTATTTCAAGCTATAGAAGTTCAATATGATCTTTTGTGGTAGTAGGCAGAAGGCAGCTACCAAACAGGGAGGTACTACCACCTGGGAAGATATTGGAAGCATAATGTGTTGTCTAATGGTAGACCCTGCTGCCATATGGCATCACAAAAATTTTGACCAAGTCCAAGGCTGTTTCTCTTACTTTAACAACACAACATACATATATCGTTTCTCATTCTTGATGTTTTTGTTTTGTTTTTTGTGTATTTATTTATGGTTCTTTATTATTACTGTATTTGTTATTACTGTATAATTTTTATTTATTTTTATTCATTTTTATTATTATTATTATATTTTTGCCCCCCAGGCCTCCGATGTGGGTCAGTGACTTGTGCCTGTATTCTATTTCCCTCCATACTTTTTGTAGCAGATCACCTGAACTTTTCTAACAGCCTCATGTGTCCTTTCCTTCAGATTTTCCAAAATTGCTCGCATTGATTGAACAAAAGCTTCATCTTGACATAGACCCCAAGAAAAAGTCAAGGGGGGTTAGATGAGGTGACCAAGAAATGCTCCCCCCCCTCCCCCCCTCCACCCCCACCATGCCCAACCCAACGAACAGGCGTACAGTATTCAAGAATGTTCTCAATATTCAAATTAAAAATGACTTAAAACTCTTTATAACTACATCCTGTTTTTCATAATGAATGTTTAAAATTGGGAAGACCTTTTGTAATTACAGTGACCCCTCGTTTAACGAACGCCTCGGTTAATGAAATTTCGATTAACGAACTGCCTTCCATAAGGATCTTCAATTCAGTTAATGAACAAAAATTCGGTTAACGAATTTCTTACGAACCGACCTCAACATGTTTTCGCTTGCACTGACCGGGCAACCAGCTTTAGTATCAGTCCGCCAATACATTAATCGGTTCTAGGGCTTAAATTCCTTACTATATTAGTAAATATCAAGAAGTTTATACTATTCAATAATTTTAAAAGTTTAATATTCAATTTTTTAGTCATTTTAACAATTATTGAACATAATTGAAGGTAAAGTGACTAGTTTAATGCGCTGCATCCAGCCTCTTAACACAGCAAACAGGCGTTAGTCTCTCTCTGTTTTCACTGGAGGTAACATCTTGCTTGAGACTCTTCAACTAAACGCTTTTTCTCTGTGTTTCCAAGCAAATTATTGGTCATTTTGAAATATATTTTACATATTGACAATATATAATGCAGTGCAGTGTTGATTTAAAGAAAATAATCTTGAATTACACCAAGAGAGCTAAAATTTTATGGGTGAAATGGCGCCATAAGTGACTTCTTCCACCCCAATGCCTTCTTCTTTCCTTTCTCCTCTACCTCCCCATTCTAAATCCCATCATCATCATCATCATCCAGGAGCCTTCTACATACACACCTCAAAGTAAGTGAACTTTTCTACCATTTTTGTTGAATTTAGGAAATTTTCGGTGAGCTGGAACCAATTACCCAAAAATCCATTGAAACAATGGTTTCGGTTAACGAACTTTTCGGTTAACGAACGACCTTCTGGAACGGATTGAGTTCGTTAACCGAGGGGTCACTGTATAATGATTTTTTTTTTTCCAGGTTGTTTGGGAGGGTATCTGTGGAGATACAACAAATCGCTGGGCTGACAAGAGTCTTTCTGCCATTTTGACAAGAAATGGATATGGGGTATTGAATAATGATGTAAGGCTATTTTATTTGAAAATGGTAATTTAGATAACAAGTCATATTAATCCATTACACAATTAAATATAGGGCACAGAGGTGGACAGTAACGGTTACTTCATTACTGAGCTTAAGTAACTTTTTGGAATAAATAAGTTTCTTTAAAGTAAATTTTCCTTCTCAGTACCTTTACCTGAGTAACACTTTAGACAATAATACAGTACTCTTACTTCATGACCAGATACTTATTGCTTAGGGCCTCTTGCTACATTTTTTTTTTTTATTCTGGAGTATGGTGCAGTGTGTGATATTATCCTTGGTGGTCAGAATTCATTGAGCGCACAACTTGCTTCTAGCCAATCATAACTCAGCATTGAACACATGCTGTTTTTCCAGTCAGTCAAAGCATAACATTTGTTCCCGCCATTACCTGGTCTGTTCCACTGATGGGTTTATATTCCATATTACATAGTACAGAACTACGAGTATATATACCCAGGCAATAGTATACTGAATATAATTACAATATAGTATTGGTGTTTGATTTTTCTTTAATCAGGTAATTCTGTGAATCATTTAATATAGACGTACAGTAGGGTGTGTCATAGGAGGGAAGATCAGCTAAAACTAATGGCCCATCACTTTTTTGGTAGATTTTAGTGTATATAAACAGAAAATAATTTCAGTTTCAATATTTTGCAACCTTTTGCTAGGTAAATTTTAGCGTGAAATTTATCGAAAATCTAACGTACCGCTGCATTAGTGCATTACAATTAAATAGTGAACATTGCTTTCTGACTTTATTCTTTAACAACCCAACTAACAATATTTTTTTCTGTTTCAGATTCTGATGCATTTATAAGTTGATAATATTTGCGATGGCTGCTTGTGTCAGGACGAGGAACCAAAAATCCAGCCATCTCAGTCACTATCTTGGGTCTGGGAGAGAGCTCCTGAAGTCGGAGTTGCCTACATTGAGAGATCCTTTGAGATACGGTGTTTTAATCAGGCAAATCAGTGAAAAGAACCAAAGAACTTACACAAACAAAGACATTGCCAGTGATATGACCAAAGCTGTTCGAAGCACAGTACACTCTGGCTAACGCTCAGTTCAAGCCTCCAGTCATAACAAGTCAGAAGAAGATTAGTGAGAGACTGCTAGCCAGTTGGGAAAAGGCAAGAGATATCTCTCTTGGGAGAGGAAAACTTGCAGTTAAGGACAACTTTGCCAAGCAACTGGACCAGTTATTTGACATAATTACTTGCAAGTGCCCAATTGTTCTCTGTCCTGAGTTTGGATGCGATCGTGACTGTAAATCCGAGGCCCACATCTCCTGTATTTGCAAGCGTGAACTGAAGATTCCTGTGATCGAACTGGCATTTGTCAAAGCACAGAGAGAGAAGACTGGCAGTATAGGGGCTCTCATGATTTCTAGCCAAGATATTCCGGAGTCCAAGAGACAGGAGGCTGCCACAGAGAGACAGAAGAGGAGAAGAGTTGCCGAGGAAAAGAGACTTGAGAAGGCCCAGGGTGAGGTAAAAAAGGCCGATGATTGGAGTCAAGCTGATTCAGAGTTTAATGACTTCCCCATGGCTGATCCGAGTGCTGACCAGGAGAATGGTGACTTTGTCCCTAACCCAGAAAATAATGATCCCAAACCTTCCAGGCATAAGATTCGAAAGATATATCCCGAGCATAGCTCTGGCCAGCATGCTACACCACACTGGTCTCAGAGAAACTGCAGAGATAGCAACAGCTGCCTGGATTGACGGTGGTTTGATAACACCTGATGATGTTCACCTGGTGATAGATCATAACAAAGTAAGGAGAGCTCAGGAGAAACTTGTCAGTAACCTAGAAGAGGAGTTTGATAAGGGATAAGAGAAAATGGAATCAATTGTTTGTTCTTTGATGGGGAGAAGGGATGACACTAAAGTGTTCATGAAAGTTGGAGATTCTGACAAGTTGTTCCCTGCCATGGTGAAGGAGGAACACTCACTCCCTGCTGCAGTGAACCAGGAGGGAAGTATTTGTGGCATTTCACTCCAGAGAAAGATGACATCAGGAAACCAGCTGGAGATAGTGGCAGATAACATTGTGAACTGGCTCAGAGAGAGGAACGTAGACCAGACCCTGCAGGCCATTGGAGGGGACAGCACCAACACGAACACAGGGTGGCAAGGGGGGGTCATACAGTGGATAGAGCGGAAGATTGGGAGGAAGCTGGTCTGGATTGTTTGTGACCTCCACACCAACGAGTTGCCACTCAGACATCTGATCCAGGAGCTGGATGGCAAGACTCTTTCAAACATCAGATGGTCTGGTCCTCTTGGCAAGATGCTGGACTCTGCCACTGAGTTAGAAATAAATCCGAGCTTTGAAAAAATCACAGTTGGCCCTCCACTCGTTGAGCTTGCCCATACTGTCATTGACGACCTGAGGACTGACCAGTACTATGGTTACATGATTTGCAGTGCCATCAAAACTGGGGTCATGCCTGATAGACTTGCTTACCTGCAGATAGGTCCAGTCTCACATTCTAGGTGGCTCACAACTGCTTTCAGGTTCTGCAGAATTTGGGTCGCTCATCATAAACTGAAAGGGAACCAGCTTCACAACCTGAGACTTATTGTCCAATTCATCGTGAGTGTCTACTTGCCAAATTGGTTCAACACCAAGGTCAAGTCATCGTTCTCCAAAGGTCCGAGGCATGTTCTCTTCCAGCTTGAGCTCCTGAGGAGTCAGCCAAGGAAGGTTGTTCAGATTGTGGGCAGACTGTGAGGAGATCTTCCTGGCATGCTCATCCCGAGGCAGTTCTGCAGACAATGCTCTGCAGTAAGGATGAGGAGAAGAGTGGCAGTCAAAAGATCTTGGATATGAGACTTATGAGAGGATCTGGGCATGACGAATCAGTTGGTGACGATTCCTTCAGGGTCAGGAAGACTCCTGAAGTCAATCTAGGTGCCAAGACCCTCACTGATCTCATAGATCTGGATAACATCCAGGCTGGCAGTGAGCCCCCTCTTACCTGCAGCCTCACCAATGTTCAAGTCAGAGCTTTCCTGGACAACCCCATGCATGTCCCTGCCTGGCCCTCGCACACCCAGAGTATAGAGCGTTGTGTACAGCAAGTGAGCGAGGCCAGCAGTCACGTGTACAGCCAGGAGAGGAGGGAAGGCTACATCCGAGCTCAGGTGGTCAGCAGGGAGGTGATGAGTAGAAACAGAAGCAAGAAAGACATGTTCTCTATGGTGTGCAGCAACACCGGGTCGTAGTAGTAAAACCGGTTTTTGTATTTGATGATTTTGTTTTCTAATGGATATTAAATTTAATAAATGTGTCAAGATCATTCTTTTCACTATTCTGGATCATTTTCATCCTAATAAATTAACCTGATACATTTACTTTACTTTAAATAAGCTATTTAGTGGTGTTGGTAAAAGGGTGGGAATACTGAATTTTCATAAGATTTCAAGTTAAAATTTACCTAGCAAAAAATGAAAACTTTTCAAATCTGAAGATATCACATGATTCTGCACATAGAACTACATCATTAATACCATGGGCCGATTTTTCAAACTCAAAAAAAAAAATTCGCCTCCGTATGACACCCTAACGTACAGTACTGTACATATCTACAATGCAGGTATGGGACCATTTATCCTTCATGCTTGTGACCGGGGAGTAGCCGGATAGGGAGTTTACCTGGAATTGGAGTGCCAGGCCTAAAATGTACAGTAAACCCTCTGTAACTGGCTGCAAAAAATCTGTTCAGATCTCTAGATTTGCCACTAAAATTAGTTTTAACTGTACACTGTAACATTAAAGCTTAAAATTTTAGAAATATAAACAGCAATAATGAAAGCATATAAATAGCAATAATGATAGCATGAAAAGAGCGAAACTGGCTGGCCGCCTCAATGCTCACCATAGCAACCAGCGCATCTGGGGATGCTTCCTGGTTGCTTTCCCTAGTAATGATGCATTGCAGACCCTCTGACCTCCACACACTCACCACGGCTTCATATGGAAACATTTAGATAGTTAAAATTTTATGCCTTATGAAAGTTACTATTGTATTTGTTTAATTTATTAATTTTTTATTTTTGTAGGATTGTGTGTGCAAATAACTGAGTAAATGAAGAAAATTACATGTATCTACCCAAAATTAAAATTTGAATAATACTTTATACCTTATAGTACTTCAGGTATTCTATTTTTATTTGCTGTATTTATTTTTGTGTGTGCAGAATTGTGCGTGTATGTAACTGAGTATAAAAAAATTAAAAAAATTACATACAATCCAGTATACAGTACTGTATTGTACTGTACTGTATACAGTTTATACCCAAAAGTGAAAGTTGAAAAATAACAATAACGTAACAAGAGCTCACAGGTTGTGAACAGATGGAAATTTATCCGCTTGGCCTGGGAATTATTTGGTGATCATTTTAAATAATTTGTTCCAGAACATAGCCTGTTTTTTGGAGTGTTCCAGATACCGGGATGCAGGATAAATGATCCTATGCCTCTACTGTACTGTACATAGTTTGTTATTATTATAGTGTTATTTGGATCATTTTGCTTAATGGTTATGGGCATGAGTCTGGTGAATCAAAATTATTTAGTTTGTTAAGTACAGTACAGTATTGATTTTTAATTTGAGAGTCAGTGTCAGTGAATAGGATTGTGGGTAAATATAGAGTGCCAGGAATAAATGGAAATGGAGAAACTGAAATAAATGTGTGCTGAGAGAGCAAGGTTAATTTATATATTTTTAAAGGTATTATGTCTCCATTCAATACCATCTAGTCATTCTTATTACTAGAATACATGTGTTATGCTATGCTTCTCTCCTTACTCAAATAGAGCCCAAATATTTGTCTGGTTTACATGTTGCAATCCACATTCCAGTATCACCCATCAGCAACACATCCTTTACCAAAAATTCACATACCTTATACTACTGCTGCTTTCTGGATGACTATCACCCTCACTTCCTTCCATCCTAGGTGTAGACCCAGAGCATTAACCCCTTCCCTTAGGATTACGGGTAGATGATCCTACAGTGCCTTTTGTTATATGTTGTCACTCACCTCCATTGAGATGTCTGACTTAATTTGACCTGTCACTGATTGTTGAAGCTGATGTTGACATCCCATGTGACCCAATATTCATATTTAGCTAATGTTCAAGGAGAAGTCCGCTGCCTCCTTGGAAACTCTCTTCTTTAGTGTGCTCATTTAAAATTAAGATTTCATACTTTTTTCATCCATTTTCTCTACATGCTTAAAATACTGTAGTAAAATGAAGCTAAATGATTTCATTTACTTATAGAATCATTTCAGGGATTATCATAGTGTTTAATTGTACTGTGTTAATATTTTCAGCATACTCCATATGATGCAATGGTCTCTGTCATGTTGGCCCACTATCAGTACCTGTTGTTTAAGGAAATGAACGGTAAATGGACAGGACCCACAGAAGTACGATATTTTCCCATGCCCACTTTATTACACTTTGACATGGATGCCAAGCTTGTGGAAGCAATATCTAGTGCTAAAGAAACCAGTTTGTCATATGTAAGTATTAAGGCATCCAGTATATTATTGTTACTCAGTTGGATGAATTACTCTCATTGGAGACTGTATACAGTATTGGGTTCTTCCTTTTTCTAATAATAATTCAATATGTCTCTCGTACAGGTATTTCAAAATGTTAACAAATATTACAAACTTTTGTATTTCAGTATATATTTTATAACAGCAAAACAATATGAATTATGGGATATTTTGAATATGAAGGGTACGAATTATGTTTCTTTTTACTGTATATCGTTATATGAAGTAATGTACAGCAAACCTTCCCAATACTGGACTAATTTGTGCAAACATTATCTGTCATTGGGATGAGGGTTTATCTTCTCCCCTATTCCCCACAATCAAAAGGCACATCTTTTATGGTAATGAATATTGTACAGAATACTGTACCACTCTATATAAATTCATCTTTTCTTAATTATGGGGATTCAGTATGTACACTTCCTTCTTTATGCTCGCATGGTGTGAAGATGGTAATGTTACACAGAGATATTGGTGATAAAACACACAAAAACTTCTGTGACTGTTTAAAGAACAATGCTAAACAACACACTGAGTGTAGGTTAAGGACTAAATTTCTTCCCAGCACACGTTATTAAATAAATATTATTGTAATATTTTTGTATAGATTATTATTTTCAGTAGGATTTATTTCAAGATAAGCAATAAATCTGGCACCATTTAAATAATGTTTTCGGTATTTTATAACTTGATTATCATATGGAGCAATAGTAGAAGTAAAAACATTCATGATATAAAGGTAACTCTTGTCTTCATATTTTGGTAAAGAATGCTCAAGTTTTTGAAGTATGTAAACTACAGTACTTTACCATCAATCTTTCTTTTGCCCAAACAGAATTTAGTGTCATGTGTTTTGAATATTGCTCAAAATTTAAATTGTGTCTTTACATAAATGTGTAGTACCCCCTGTACATATTGTGACGACCTGCGGTGCAATGGTCAGCATGCTCGCCTCACAAGTGAGTGGACCCGGGTTCGATCCCGGGCAGGGTAAAACAATGGGCAAGTTTCTTAACACCATTTACCTCTGTTTACCCAACAATAAGTGGGAACCTGGATGTTAATTGATTTGCGGATCGTATTCCGGGGTAATGGTTAGCCAGTGCAGTTGGCGAGTTGTCCTGTCTTCTCGGACTATTCCTTGACACTGGGTCATGCAGCTCATTAAACTCAGGAAGTGGTTGTTGTGTTGGCGACAGCTTCTACACCTTAAAAAAATTCACGCCTAGGTGGCCCTTGGGTCCGCCATCCTCGTTACATGAGGGGCAACCATTATTATTTAGTACATATTGATTATGTTTTCTTACAGATCAATAATATATGTGCTAAGCTCTTTATCTTCGCTGATTATGGAAAAGATTTCCTGAGGACTCACAAGCTTCATCCAGATGCTTTTGTTCAGATGTCCATACAGCTGGCATATCAGCGTCTTCATGGAAAGTGAGTAGCTTCCTTTGGAGTATTCTGCTGATTTGTTGTAGTACATACAGTCAGTTCTTGTATAATGTGGTAGTTGTGTTCCTGAAAATACTACATTATAGAAAATCACTTGTAGTAACCATTAATTCAAAGGGACCAATTGATTTAAATAAAAATCATTAACTGCTTTTGTATGTAACTTATGTCCTTCCTATAGACCAGCACCCACATATGAAACAGCTACTACTCGTCAGTTCTATGATGGTCGAACTGAAACTCTGCGTTCATGTACTGTGGAGTCTGTTGATTGGGTACAAACAATGCTGAGCCCAAAAGCATCAGTATGTATATTTTTCCTTCACCTTTAATGACTGATAATGATTTTGATTATCTCCTGTTTTTATAATAAATGAGGAATACTTGCATGATAAAATTTAACTGCAGTGAGATAAATTTTAAGTTGATATTTATAATTAGTTGTATAATTTACAGACTTCTGAGAAGTTTCACAAGATGAAAATTGCTATGGATACTCATAACTGCCATATGAAACAGTGCCAAAATGGTGAAGGTGTTGATAGACACCTCTTTGGACTTTATGTTGTGGCCTTAGAATCTGGCATGGACATTCCAGATTTATTTATGGACCCATCATATACTAAGAGGTAAGTGTTCTTGCAGTTTGTGGTTGGTAACTTTGTGGCCTTACACCCGGCACTCAGTGACCTGTGCACCGTAGCGCCAGGTCAGTGGCTTGAACACTCCGGTATATCCTTAACTGTTAGTGACTGGGATGAATCCTTAAATTGTTTTGCTTTCCCATTACAACCAAGCCCTAAAGTCTTTAGAAGCTTGAGTCCTTTAGGTCTACCCATGACACTGTGCTGTTTAGAAGGCTCACTCGTAGTGCTGTTACCTAAACTCCTAAAGGGACGTTGAGATAAGTGCCTTGGCTTCTATTTTCAGTGCTAGTGAAATTTTGATTGAAAGTGTTGAGTATTGTATTGTAAAAACAAGATGTATGGTTACAAGGGGCCTACATACCCATACTTTGTTGCTGTGGGACTGTTATCTAATATATGCAGTAAGAGACACTCGCCCGTATTATTAAACAACATCTTCCCTCTCTGACGAAGAGTCTTCTTGAAGGGATTGTTCTTTCAAGCGGTATTTTTAATTGCTCGAACCTCTTCCCCTTCGTGTGGGACCAAGTAGGGTAGGTCTGGTAATACTGTCTACTTCGCTGATGCATTATGGGTCGTCTTACTCGTGTGTGTTTATTTACCTTCGTTGACGCTAAAATTAAGAGTACTGCGCGCTCATCATGGACATTTTTTCCTCCCACTCATCAAGGGCATGCCCTATATCGCAGAGAGAACTTGATTTATTAGTTCATTTGATTGGGGAGGAAAAGATTTTACAAATAAAAATACTTGTGGAGAGCCTGTTAGTTACAAACACAGGAGAAATATACATTTTCTAAGGTTTCCAATGTCATTTTCAAATGTAACTAATCTACAGTAATGCATAAAATAAGAAGGAAATGGCTTTTAAGTGCTGATATGCCCTTATTATATTGTCATGGGTTAAAAATTGTGGTTTTCAGAGAAAACAAATTTATAAACGCCACAATTTCAATGTTTTATAGTGAGATGGTCGTATTTATGGTAAATGTTTTAAAAAGTTTTATTTATAAGTTAAAGTTAAGTTAACCTAACCTAACCTTAACCTAGCATAATTTATCACATGCTGTGGGAGAACTTACTATTACTGAAACAGGGGAAGCTGCTGTGAAGTCCTCTACTGTATATTAGCCAAAATACTGTATCATATACTGTACGTTTAAGTCACATTATCATTAAAAAATCAAACTCCATCTCCCAGTGAACATCTTTTATTATAAACCTAATTCTGACAAATGGAAGTTTACCAAAACGAAATACTGTAATTGGTGATGAAAAATTAGAGCCTGCAGTATTTCACATATTATATCATTATCCACTGTATCAAAGGTAATGTTACCATCCTTGTAACAATGCCCTCCCAGTGAAATTTGCCTCTACCCATTTTAATATTTTTAGGCATTAAATCTCCCCTGTATATATTTTCCAGACAGAATCTCACTTAAAAAAATGCTAAAAGGTTGCATTAAGTATCTTAAATGTACTTACCCGTACTTTATTAATACAGTCAACCCTCACTTTACGCAGTTAATGTAACCCACAGGGTACCGCGGAAAGTGAGAAACGCGTAAAGTGAATAACATAACATATGGGATTAAATGAAATAGAGACCAGCTGACCCCCAAACTCCACTTTTTCCAACACAATACCTATGTTCTAGTAAAAATAACATCTTAATTTTATGATGGTACATGCACACAATTAATACTTAAGAGAAATAGAGAAATACAGTCGCCAAGTTAATGTCCATTCAAATAATGGACACGACTCCCTCCCCCTCTTCTCACACTACACTGCTGGCTCTTCCCTCTGAGAAATTTTGGGGGTAAAACCAGGTATAGTGATAAATAATACCTCAAACTAAAGTTAGGATAATATAATTGACATTGCTGGATTCCTTGTAAGACCAGGAATATTTTGAATATAAATGTCATATATTTTTCACAAAAGATAACATATTTACTCAGATTAAACATTTTATCTAAAATTTGTATGTCTAATGCAAAATATATGATGTTTATATTCAAAATGATCACCAAATTGTAAGAATTCCAGCAATGTAAATTATATTCTGGCTGGGTAATTTGTATGAATTTTATGAGCTAAATAAAAAAATTATACTTCACCGTGTAAAGGGGTACACCCACCGCGGAATGTGAGCATCCTGGGTTCTGGCAGGGCACCGTGTAAACGTGGAAACGCGGAATGTGGGACCGCGTAAAGTGAGGGTTGACTGTATATGCCACTTAAAGTTTGGTGACGATTTTCTCCCAGTGAAATTTGCCTCGTATCCATTTGAATATTTATAGGCAAGAATCTCGCCAGTTTATTTTTTCCAGACAGAAACTCACTTATAAAACTACTAAAAAGTTTAATAAATTACCTTAAATGTGCTTACCTAATTAATACCAGCATTAGTAAGATGAGATGACTCCAGCAGCTTGCCTTTGGCAATGACAGGAAGCACAGCTTTTGTCAATGTCGTAATATGACAGGAAACACAGCTTTTGCAATGTCATAATATGGGCCGTAAAACCAATAGTGTAAAAAAAATAGATTAAAAAAATTACCAATACTGTACTGTACTTGTTTCTTTGTACATTAATCGCATTGACTATAAATATTCAATAAAACTAACAAAACAATTATGAAGAGGGTGACGAAAAGCAGCTACTAGCTACCTCTTCAAATTTCAGTAATATTAGTTTGTTTTCCAGCCACCACACTCCATCGTGCGCTGCAGTAAAAGGTTCTTCACATTTAAAAATACGGTTTTTGACACGAGGATCCTCTTCAAGGAAAGATGTTGTTTAATAATATGGGCGTCAATCTGTCAATGACAGGACAGTAATCCATCATTTAAGCTGATTTCACAAGATCTCATTTGGTTTATATGTGATATACATTTTACCATAAAATTTCCCCAATATTGTATTAAAGTTTACTTGTGTATAGCTGCATATTGTGGGTTTCACCTTCTGTGTACTGTACATATTACAGTGTTGGAAAACATCTCATGAGCTATGTACTTCAGGAACGCCACCAGAACATACACAGAATATGTTGTGCAAATACATCTTTTGTGCAGTACTTATGGACTAGATTTCTTCTTTTTATCATTAATAATGTCACCCCTTAAGTATCCTTTGAATTCTACAACAAGTGAAGAAACCCTTATAAAGAATCCTAAGAAGGTTTTAACTCTAAGAAGCTAAATTGTAGATATTGAGAAATTTTGAAAATGGTGAAACAGCCTCAGTGTTTGGCAGAGAATATCAAGTGAAATTTTTTTTATTTCAGCATTGAATTATTTTTAGTACAATACTCCAGCTATTTTTACGCTAAATACTAAATGTATTATTTAGTGTAAATAATAGCTAATGTGAAGTAATTGTGCATATTATTCAAAATACTTTTTTTGTGTGAATATTATTATAAAAGAATATCTGTGGTTGTAGTGGTGGTGGTGGCAACTACGTGCTGTCAACAAGTACTGTGGGATACTCCCCTGTGTTTGGAGGTACAAGCGCCATGGTTCCTCAAGGCTATGGCTGTTTCTACAGTATGGTATCTGACAGGTGAGACTTTTTTTTTTTTTTTTTTTCCAGTGAGGAGAAAGTTATATGGCGATTACCAGTATAAGAGGTTGGTGACTCAACAGTGAGTGTTAAAGAGTACTGAAATACGTAAGTAATCATACTACTAATAAAAAACTGCTTGATTTTAGCATATTTTCATTTTTACTAATTATTTTTTCTCTTAAATTTGGGGGTTTTGTTCATATTTTATATTAGAGCATTTTTTCATTACTGTAAATTTTCGCTTATCAAATCCTCGTAAATAAAGGGTCTGCCTGTTTGTACACTCATATGGAGGTGCAGATACATAAACACAGACAAAGATGTGCTGTATGTACAGTCCTGGACTCTTCCACGTTGAACACCCAGTCAGACGACCAGAGAGCTAGAATCAGCTGACGATCTAGTAACTGTGTGTGTAAGGGGGTGGGAGGGAGAGGGGAGGGGTAAAGATTGGGGAGTACTTGAGTTCCGTGTTGCGTAATACAGTATACGTAATCATATATTATTTCGCAAAGAGTGATGGAAGTGGAAGAGGTGATTATGGTATAGGAATACGTATTTACAGTGGCATTGCGTTGTTTGATTTATTGGGGTGTAGTTGGTTATCTCTAATCTAAGGCTCCAAAGACAGAGAAACACATAACCTTTACCTCCCTGCACTACTGCTGCCCTTCTTCGGGTAAGGACAGTATGAGAAAACAGGTGCCAGTCAATGATTGATGTCGACCAATTTCTTAGAAATAATTTTTTTCCAAATCCGACATATATAACTTTAAGCTGATACACATTTTTAGGTGATTCAACTGCTCTTATATTCACATTATATTTCATGAAAGCATTAATAGCATATAATGAAACCACATGCTGTCGTAAGTCACGTTTCGACCTAGCCTCGCACTGGGTAAACCAAAATGACCTCTTTACACTTATCGTTTTAATATGGCGATTCTTGTGGTACGATGCTACGAAAGATACTGACAAGTAGTTACTGATGACGTGTAGGTGCATAATGGTATTATCAAACTCCCCCCATCTTCCCCCCCCCACACACACACACACACACACACTGTTACCAGATCGTCAGCGGATTCTACCTCTCTGGTTGTCTGGCTGGGTGTTCAATGTGGAAGAGTCCGGGACTGCACATTCACATATACAACAAAATTCAGCCCATAAGAGCCCGTACCGATAGATATAAGAACAGCACCATCCCATCTATTGTTAAAATAATAAACAACTCCTCATTTATGTACTGCACAGCCCTGTAAATGTATTCAATGCATATTATATCATTATGTCTAAATTAAATGTAAGTCTGTATATTTTCAGCCACCGGCTGCAACTCTATTAATAAACCGTTTATTATTATTATTATTATTATTATTATTATTATTATTATTATTATTATTATTATTATTATTATTATTATTATATACTATTCAGTACTGTACAGTATACTATATGGTGAATTAATAGAAAGGAAAGGCAGATGGAAGTTGTTATGGCAGAAAATAAATAGGATGAGAAAACCAAGTGAAGGAATTTAAAAAGCAGTTAAATTTTAAAGAGGAGAAAGTTAAAAGGAAATTGGGAGGATATTTTAAACAATTGCTATGTGGATAGGATGTGATATTAGTGGAATTATGCGGTTTACGATTTGATGGATATAGATAGTGTCAGTGAAAGGGGAAAAAAGAAGATAAGCCACTGGGAGTAGATGGGATTACCATTGAAATGTTATGGATGGAGGTGGAATACTGTACCTTTAGTGATAGATTACATGACCAAAAGAGTATGTGCTCTGTTTGGTATAGGGAAGGGTCCAAGGGGTGACAGGGAAAGGTGATGAGAATGAATAACAACTGTAGTAGAATAAATCTGTTGAGTTTACAAAGACCCTGACACTCGTCAACCTGTGAATCTGAGACATCACATGACCCAGTTCACCATCTATGGGCCCAACAGTGTGTGATGTCTCGGATTCACAGGTTCTTGAGTCTCAGGTCAGAGGACTGACACAACTTTTTTCTGTGACTTTACACAAGATTTAGGGTCTTGTTACAAAAGGAGAGTGCCATAGAAGAACTTATCTTTGACAGTAATACAATGAGTGGATAACATTAAACTAAAAATAAAACTTGAAAGAGAGAGTAAAAAGAATATTACATGCCACACATACACAACATTGCTAAAGCTGCCTCCTGAAAGCTGGGAATGCTGTGCACTTGCTGTAGCTACTTCACTCCTGAGCAGTTGCTTCAAGATTTTTAAGGGATTTATTCGTCCTAACTTCGAGTACTGCTCTCATAGCTGGGGTGGCTCTTCTTCTGTCCGTCTGTTAGATAGGGTGGGATCAAAGGCATTTCGTCTTATTAACTCTCCTCCTTTATCTGATAATCTCTATTCTCTTTCTCTTCGCCACAATGTTGCTTCACTCTCTCTCTTTTACAGGTACTTTAACAGGCAAATTTCGGTAAATTTGGCATCCTATGTACCGCCGGAAAGGCCGTGGGCTCGTAATACCCATCTTGCCCACGGTTCCCACCGTTTCTGTGTGAATGTCGGTCACACTAGAATAACCCCTTATAGTACATCCTTCTTTCCTCACACAGCCAAACTGTAGAATGCTCTGCCTTCTGTGTTTCCATACTTATACAATGTCTCACTTTAAAAAGCTGGTTTTCCAGCATCTTCGTGGTGTAGGTTAATTTAGTCCTTTTCTCTTCTATTTCCAAGGCCCCGTTGTGGGTTAATGACCTGCGTCCAGGTGGGCCATTCCCCCATAAAACATTCATCCTCACTGTTTGAGTTGACCACTATTTGATGGCCATTTATGTAATGAAGAGTCCAGAATATAATAGTATGGGTGTATCCCAACCAAAATAATGACATAATTTCCTCATCAGTGGAAAATAATATATTGTACTGTGTGGCTTGTATCCTTTTAGTTCAACTGTTGAACACAACACTTGTATCTTAGTGTTTACGATTGAAAAATGTGTCAACTTCAGTGCTGGGCAGGTAAAAGAAGCATTATTTCATGTATAGATCTTTGTATAAGAGAGAAGAAAAACTGCATTATTCATAACTGTAGTTTCCTTTTTCAGGATGAACTTCTTTCTCTCCGGTTTCAAATCCTCAGAAGAGATAAATGTGGATGCCTTTAAAAATGCACTCCGTGCCTCCCTCTGTGATATGCAAAATATCTTACTTGTGCCTAACTCAAGCCTCTAAATTATAAATAATTTCCTACTGTAATACACACACACACACACACACACACACACACATACATTAGCTTTGATGCAGCCGTAAGTATAAAGGTTCATTATTTCACAGTAAACTAATGAGGAAATTATTTTTATATCAGCTGGATGTTTGAATTAACACAGTGTATGGCAGACAGGTGAAGCCAAGCCAGCAGATCCAGTGCCTGAGTTATGGATGTGTTGGTTGTAGCTTCTCGTGAACATTTTGACCTCGATGACACACCTCCCCCCATCTTTAATTTTTATTACCTGTACAGTGAAACCTCCATATAACGGACTTCTCTCTGCATATAATCCATGAGATGGGGATTTCACATCTAATGGACCCTCAATTACAACACTTTTCTCTCCATATAGTATGTTATATCGAGGTTTTACTGTATAAAAATAATTTTATTATATGTATACAATAATTGTATTTTGAATTTAATTTGTATCCAGAATTTTATTTTATATTACTTAATGTTTATTTAATTTGAGGCAAATGAAAATGAAAATTACTCTCCTGAATAGCTAAATGAAGTAATTTGCTTCCTTTTTTAAGTGTATACGCTATGGTGTAAGCTGAGCTTATGGTTGTACTGTGCTTTTTTTTTTCATTCTCCACACACTGAAATAATATCACAAGCAAACTTAATAAAGGTGTTCTGCCTTTTTAAGTTTTGATTTTGAATACAGTGCAGTTCATTAGATATGGCTGAAACAACAAATCATACTAGTGTAAAGTTCTGTCTGTGACAGGCCCGGGGAATATGTGGTCACTGGCTTTCCCCGAGTGCAGTTTCTCAATGGTTCCTACAATAAATAATTCTGATAACTGAAGATGAGAGTACAGTACATCAATATAAAATTTTGAGACGTTAGATTATTTAAGTACATTTACTTATCACCAGTCAAGGATATAACATTAATAGATTGAATCTTTCTAAAAGTTCTTATTTTTGTTGGAGAAGACAAGAGGCAGCAGCATAACCTCCTGGGGCAATTGAATTATTTTCCTCTTGTGCAAGGTTAGGTAATGTGGGTGGGTGTGTGAGAGTGTGACACTATATCATGGTCCACTACCCCTCCCCCATCCAAAGGAGGAGTAGATTTTAATGAGCTAAGAAGTCACCCCGAAACTCTTGTGTCTTTGCTTTACTTTCTGGACCCTACTTGCTTTTGCTGCGTCAACTCAGTTGTTCCTTAAGTAGCTGGTACAGTATGTTACTCATGTTATCAGGGTACCTCTCCTTCACTTTGTTCATCAGAATGATGGCAGATGAAAGTAAATGGGTGATGAGGAACTGTGGATGTATGGTTCAGCCATTGCAGGAGTAGCATTACAGTACCTACTGTCTTGACAAAGGTACCTTAAAAGTGGCAAAGGCTTCGTGACATGATGGACATACTATGACGCATAACAAGTACCATGACTCATGACAGGTACCATGACTCAACATGGCATGAAGGTGGCATATGATTTCCCATTCATGAGTTTATTATTACTTTTCTCTCACCCTTTATTCAGTACCTATCACACTTGCCTTGCATCCTTCTCATAACATCTTCCCTGTGTGTCACTTCACCTTACATTATCTCTGACTCAGTTTAAACATTTCCTATTGTTTTGTGGTCACTGATAACCCAATTTCCACTCTTAAAGTGCGTACACTTGAGTCAGATCTGCCCAGGATCCAAACTTAACAAAAATTCACAAAATGGATATTCCTCATGAATGAAGGAGTTACAATGCACCTAAGTGGTTGACTTAAGCTAAAGCACAAAAAATAACAGCCATACATTACATCAAAATTTACACTGAGACTGCACAACTAGATTTGTTCATTTAATACTATTCTGGGGACAAAATTAGGATGTCTTCCTTGGATAGTGTCACCAGTGCCATTTGTTGAGACACATAGAGTAGGGTTTCAGATAGAGTACAGTACTACACTGCACTGTATATACTGTATATTTATTTAGTCTTTCAGACATTTTCCTGATGTAATGCAGAGTTGCAAGAATAAAGAGAAACTATACACATACATTGTCCTTTCATTCATAGTTATTTATTAATTCTGCTAAGTGTTTTAGTGTATTTTTTTGTCCGGTGATTTGATTTCAGATTCCCTAGAAGAATTTTTAGTAAATTTCAGAGACTTGTGAAGTGTGTCCTACTGAGATTCTTGTTCAGTGCTTGCATATGCATTATATATACCTGTACTGTGCATACATCTAAGTTTAGTTTAGCCAGTATCAATCACACTATTATGCTCTCCCAGGGACTCCCTTTGAGGAGTCATGAAGTCATCATTGTTCACTGTACTTGCACCACTGGATTTAATAACTTATAATAAAACTTACTGTGCTCATGAGGGATGTCTTAATGAGTTTTGTGCCTATGAATCCATTCCATTAAATGGTTTATTAGTAAGGTGTTCTTCACGCTTAGAACAAATTCCAAAGCAAACTTATAGTATTACAACTTGCATACTGTACTGTATCCTCCAGTTCTATTTTTTTTTGTTATATTTCAGACCAGGTTGTGATTGCCCTGTTTTAATGAGTAAATTGTTATAAAAAGGGTCATAGAAGTTCTGGCAACATACTACTTTTAAAAAAACATATTCTGTGTATATATTTAAAACAAAAATACAGTACTACAGATCTATTCAGACTTTCAAATATGGAACTTCTCTTGCTTAGTAGGCTTAGTTAGTGATTTGATAACAGAACAGGTTAGGTTGTGGAACAGCTTAGATTTTTTCAATATACAATATGAGAAAAGTAATTCCAGTTAAGTAGAGAGTTACTGTTATTTGAGGTTGACAAGGAGTGAAGTGTGGGAGATTAGGCAGATTACAGTAACTCATTTGGCAGTAAATGCTGGAGAGAAATAAATACTGTACTAGTTGGAAGATTGTATGTACTGTATACTGTATTAAATTAGAGAAATAACAACCAAGCTAAAGATTGGTTCATTGTAGAAATAACAACTTACTGTAGCAAAGAGTGGAGACAAAGTATTAAAGGTTAAGGCAGTACAGTATTTTATTCTAGATTAAGATGTAGTAAGTACAGTATAGTAATTTTAACTTAATTTGGGGACCCAGGACCCACTTTTATAAAAACAGTGGTCCCTCGGTTAACGAACGGTTCGATTAACAACATTTCGGTTAACGAATTACCTCCCATAAGGATCTTCAATTCGGTTAATGAACAAAACTTCGATTAACGAAATCCTTATGAACATCATGTTTTGTTGTGAGCATCAGCTGATGGGCTAGTCTGCCAATTCAGTAATCTGTTCTATGTTTACATTTGTTTCCAGTGGAGTAAGTATCAAGAAAGTTGTGCTCTTTAATATTTTTGCATTTTTTATATTAAAATTATTAGTCATTTTAACATTTATTTAATATATGCAGTACAGGGAACTAGTTTTTGTGCGCCCATCAGACGCTTGACTCAGCCAATAGGCGTCAGTTGGGCTCTGTTGAGAGTGGAGTGAACATCTATTTTGTTGGTGTCTTGAATATTTTTGCATTTTTCATTGAAATTATTTATTGGTCATTTTGAAATTTAGTTAACATATTGATCATATATAGCACAGTGCAGTGTTGATTTAAATAAAATAATCTTGAATTACACCTAGTAAACTTAATTTTATGGGTGAAATGACGGCATCAAGCATGGTTCCCCTGAAAGGTGATTTCATCTCCATCCCCACTTCCTTCTCTTCTCCCTTCTCCTCCACCCCCACTTCTAATTCCCATCATCATCATCAACCAGGAACCTTCTACATACACACCTCATAGTAAGTGTTCTTTACTGCATTTTTTTTCTACTTTGTATGTACTTTTCAGTGAGCTGGAACCAATTTACCCAATATCCCATTGAAACAATGGATTCAGTTAACGAACGACCCTCTGGAACAAATTGTGTTTGTTAATCGAGGGACCACTGTGCTGAGATTTGATTGTAATTTCTTGTGAATGCATCAGAAATACAATTTATTACTGGAACTATGATGGGAATGAGGAAAAATAATTGACTTTCATATAGTTTGATGAATACTGTATAGAGAAGTAAACAATAGGAATACAGTATGGCACTTATTACAATTGTTTGATTTTGACAATAGTATGTCAGTTTCTCCATATGAGAAAATTTTTGTACAAATAAGAATTTTTGTTACAATATTGTTTAATTTTTTTTTAACAAATAAGTTGTTTATCTGAATGATAAAGCATATACAGTATATTCTTAAAGCATTACTGTATTGTAGCCATACCTTACACTACACCCATGTACAGTACTGTACTTTATACATGCAGTAATGATATTTGGTTTATCAAGGTACTGTACTGGCAATGGTTTGGAACTTTATATATACTGTATATATTTTTTAACTGAAATGACTAAAACACTTTGGTCACCCATGTACAGTACACATACAGTAATCATTTCCTTACTGTAAATTCTTTGCATACAAGGTATAGTATTTTCTGTTGATTTTAGGGCTATATTGATTTTTTATTTCCTTAACTGCTTTATATTATTGAGATTCAGTCTACAGTACAGCAGTAGTGATATTTAGAATTTTTTTATTTTATTCTTGAATCATATGAGTAATTCTTCACTGCTATGATTAGACATAATTCTATACTTATGGGAAATCTTTAATGTACAGTAATACCCTGCTTAACACGGTTTCGCTTAGCACGATTTCACGTATACGCGGTGCCTCGCCAGAGCTGAACTTTCACTTAACGCGGGTTTTTTCCACATATACGCGCAGAGTGTCCGGCTCGAGAGCTATTTTTAGATTCGCCCCACCCGACCTGACTGCCTGCCTGCCTGCCTGCCTGTTTTAGCTCATAAAATTCATACAAATTACCCGGCCAGAATATAATTTACATTGCTGGAATTCTTACAATATGATGATCATTTTGAATATAAACATCATAGATTTTGCATTAGACATACAAATTTTAGATATAATGTTTACTCTGAGTAAATATGTTATTTTTTGTGCAAAATATATGACATTTGTATTCAAAATATTCCTGGTCTTACAAGGAATCCAGCAATGTCAATTATATTATCCTAACTTTAGTTTGAGGTATTATTTATTACTAAAAAGGTAAATATTCTGGTTTCCCACACATCTGGTAGGGAGGGTTGGTGGGGGGTGGGGGGGAGGGAGGGACTGACCGACCATCTATTACCATGTGAAGAATATTTTTTTTATTAACTGAAGATATTTGTTTTAGCTCATAAAATTCATACAAATTACCCGGTCAGAATATAATTTACATTGCTGGAATTCTTATAATTTGATGATCATTTTGAATATAAACATCATAGATTTTGCATTAGACATACAAATTTTAGATGTAATGTTTACTCTGAGTAAATATGTTATCTTTTGTGCAAAATATATGACATTTATATTCAAAATATTCCTGGTCTTACAAGGAATCCAGCAATGTCAATTATATTATCCTAACTTTAATCTGAGGTATTATTTAATACTAAATGTTAAAATTTAGTTTTTTCACCCAACATCTCTTGAAGGGAGGATTGGTGGGGGGTGGGGGGGGAGGGTTGGGACGGACCGCGTGGTTGGAAGAGGGGGGGAGGCAAGGTGGGGTACTTTGATTGACAGATAGTGTCGTGAAGAATATTTTTTTTTATTAGCTGAAGATATTTGTTTTAGCTCATAAAATTCATACAAATTACCCGGCCAGAATATAATTTACATTGCTGGAATTCTTAAAATTTGGTGATCATTTTGAATATAAACATCATAGATTTTGCATTAGACGTACAAATTTTAGATATAATGTTTACTCTGAGTAAATATGTTATCTTTTGTGAAAAATATATGACATTTATATTCAAAATATTCCTGGTCTTACAAGGAATCCAGCAATGTCAATTGTATTATCCTAACTTTAGTTTGAGGTATTATTTATTAAAATTTAGTGGTTTTCCCCCCCAAAATTTCTCAGAGAGGGAAGAGCCAGCAGTGTAGTGTGAGAAGAGGGGGAGGGAGTGGAGTCCATTAATTGAATGGACATTAACTTGGCGACTGTATTTCTCTATTTCTCTTAAGTATTAATTGTGTGCATGTACCATCATAAAATTAAGATGTTATTTTTACTAGAACATATGTTCTGTTGTTCACTTAGCGCGGTTTTCACTTAACACGGTACCCTGTGGGTTTTATTGACCGCGTTAATCTGGGTACTACTGTACTGTATTTTGCAGTATACATAATGCCAAAAAAAATTACTGTTGCATTATACAGTATGTAGTTATGTTATGTGTATATACTGTACAGGTAACAGCGATTGGATGTGACATTATTTTGTACCACATTTTTAGTACCTCATGGAAACCTTTGTTAAGGTTGATACAGACTGACCTGCCATGTATTTTAAGAGTTTGGATCCTGAATTTATGGTCAAACAAGAACAGTTGTTGCTATTTTTAAATGTCTCAAAGCACATTTTAGAACTGTTAAGAAATTTGGAAAATTTTTAATGTATCAATGCAATACCTGTATTCTAGTCTCAGTGCTCGTTTTAGATTAATACATTGTTAAAGTTAAATATCTTTTATTTAAACTGTTTTCACATGAATCCTCAATTTGTATGATTAAGAAAAGTGAGACTACAATAAGGGCTAGTATCATCCTCAATGAAGGTAAATACTGTACCCCTAATTTTGTTAAATTTATGTTATGCTATTTTACATTTACAGTATTTGACACAAATTTAATGAAATGTACAATGCAGGAATATTAAGAGAAGGAACAGGCAACTTGGTTAGGCTTTGATGAGTGTTATCGGTGGTCATGGAACCTAACCACGGATTTACCAACCAAAGGGTTTTCCAGGAACCTGATCCATGAGGTTGGTGAGGGACAACTGTACAGTACGTGCAGAAATTATATATATGCTACAGTGCTCAGTTGTCAGTAGGGGAGAGCAAGGATGTTACAGACAGAAGAATGGTTCATATAGTGATCTTCCTGAGAAAGATAGGATGCCAACAGTCCTACTGAGCTTGTTTAAGAATGTTTGGATAAGCTTGAGGCCAAATTTAATGTATATTTTTCATCTGAAGATGAGCCCTGAAATGGATTTTTGTGGTTAATGAATTCATTCAGTCTTGACAGAATAGACTCACTGAATTTGCAAATGATCCAACACTGAAAGAATTATTTAAGAGTCTGCATTTAGATGCTTTCTGTCTTAAGTGAAGACAGAATTATAAAAAGTACCCATTCCACCAAAAGTAGCACAGGTGTGACATTTTGATTAGGCTAGAAGTAGAACTCTGAATCTGATCATAATGTTACTCTCCA